GTCTATCCTATATCATGAGACTGTGACCCCCTTTTCTGGATCCCCAGAAAGGTGAAACATCGTCTCTGCATCAAGTCCATCCTGCCATGTTAGAATTTTATATTTTCAAGGAGATTCCCCTCTCATTCTTCTGAAGCCCAGTGAATACAGGCCCAGCCAAGACAATCTCTCCTCAAATGATAAATTTGTCATCTCAGGAATCAGTCTGAAGAATCTTTGTTGCACTCCCTCTATGATATATGTATCCTTCGTTAGATAGGGAGACCAAAACTGCACTCAAAATTCCAGGTATGGACTCATTAAGGCCCAATGCAGATACTTCCTATACTCAAACCCTCTTTCAAAAAGGCCAACATTCCATTTGCCTTCTTAACTGCTTGTTGCTCCTGCATGCTTATTTACACGCAGATCCCTTTGTACATCAACATTTCCCAAATTAACACCATGCAACTAATACTCTGCCATTGTTTTACCTAGTGAGGTGGACAGCCTCACACTTATCGATGTTGTACTGCATCTGCCATGCAATTGCCTGTTCCCTCAACTTGGCTAAATGACCTCGAAGGCTCTTTGCATCTTCATCACCATTCATAATTCCACCTAGGTGTTGTGGTGTCAGTAAACTTGGAAATATTATGTCTGATTCCCTCAATTGTGGATATATATTGTGAATAGCTGGGGCCCAAACAATAATTTCTATAGTACTCCACCAGGCACCCCCTTCCACTCCAAAAGATAACCATTTAGTCCTACTCTTTGTTTCCTATCTGCTAACCAGTTCTCAATCCATGCCAGTATATTATCCCCAATCCCATGTGCTTTTATTCTATACAATAACCTCATAAGGGAGAATTTATCAAAAGCTTTCTGAAAATACAAATACACTGGTCCTCTGGCATCCATTCTATAAGTTATGCCCTCAAGGTCTCCCATAAGTTTGTCAAACATGATTTTCGTTTCATAAATTAATGTTGAGCAATCACATTGCTATTTTCTAACCATCCTGTCATCACCTCCATTATCCAGACTCAAGCTTTTTCCATACTCTGCACGCTAGACTAACTGGTCTATAGTTCACTATCTATTTATTTCTTAAACATGTTCAGGGTGACAATCTTTACAGCCTTCTGTGGTAGAGAATTTGCAAGGGAGAGCAGTGTGTGGAGAACAATGGGCAATGAAAGGCAGGAAAGGGTCAAGGAGGGTGGGGGAGACAATGGAGGAATTTGAAGGAGGTGGAGTTGTAAGGAGTAAGAGTGGCAAGGTGGGGAATGGGTAAAGTACTGGATGAAAACAGGAAGAATTGTGGAGAAGGAGGTATGGAGGGAGGAGGAGGGTAAGACAAAGGGAGGAGGGTCAAGGAACGAGGGGAAAGGATGAAGAGAAAACATAGTGAGGGATTCGGTGAAGAGACAGACAAAGGAAAGGGTAAAGATGAGAGGTGGCACAAGAGGGAGAATAGAGGTCACAACTGAAGTGTAGAGGGGAAGTTGTAAGGGGTAGGAGGAGATGGTATTAGGGAGAGAACAGAGTGGAAGAGAACAAAGGAATGGAGGATGTAGGGAGAGAGGGGTGAAGAGAAGGATCTGGGAAAAGAGGCAGTGAGGAAGAGAAATGCACAGGCAAACACAGATGGAGAGATGAAGCATAGATAGACATTTCTGCAGCTGACAGTGTGACATCTGAATGGTGTGTTCCCTACTTGATGCCAGAGTCAAGGATATCTTGGACAGGATGCAGAATATTCTGAAAGGGGACAGTGACAACAGGAGGTCATTGTACACATTGGGTTCGATTACATAGGAAGAGAAAGGGACGAGGTTCTGAAGAAAGAATATAGGAAATTAGAGATAGTAGGAACTGCAGATGCTGGAGAATCCGAGACAACAAGGTGCAGAGCTGGATGAACACAGCAGGCCAAGCAGCACAGGAAATTAGGCAGGAGGTTAAAAAGTAGACCCTTGAAGCTAGCAATATCTGGATTATGCCTGGTGCCATCTGCTAGTCAGAGTTGGAATAGGAGGAAGAGCAGATGAATCTGTGGCTAAGGAGCTGGTGCAAGGGGCAGGGATTTGCATTTTTGGGTCATTGGAATCTCTTCTGGGGTGAAAGTGACCTGTATAAGAGGGACAGCTTGCACTTGAATTGGAAGGGGACCAATATTCTGACAGGGACATTTGCTAGTGCTACTCAGGAGGCTTTAAAATAGTGAGGGTGGGGGTGTGGGACCCAAAGAAAGAGTGAGAAAAGAGATAAGCCTGAGGCTGGTACTGTTGAGAAGAGGAGCAAAGCAGAAATAGTCAAACCAGGCAAAAATAAGGCAGAGAACAAATTAAACTGCATTTATTTCAATGCAAGAGGCCTGACAGGCAAGACGGATGAACTCAGTGCATTGTTGGGAACATGGGACTGGAAATATAATTGCTATTGCAGAACTGTGGCTCAGGGAAGGACAGGACTGGCAGCTTAATGTTCCAGAGTATAGATGCTATAGGAAGGATAGAAAGGGGGGCAAGAGAGGAAGGTGAGTGGTGTTTTTGGTTAGGGATAACATTATGGCTCTGCACTTAGGGAGGATATTCCTGGGAGTATGTCCAGTGAAGTTATTTGGATCGAACTGAAAAATAAGAGAGGGATGATCACCTTATTAGGATTGTACTATAGTTACCCCAGTAGTCAGTGAGAAATTGAGCAGCAAATTTGTAAGGAGACCTGGTGACCTGGGTTCAATTCCAGCCTCAGGTGACTGTCTGTGTGGAGTTTGCACATTCTCCCTGCGTCTGTGTAGGTTCCCTCCAGGTGCTCCGGTTTCCTCCTACAGTCCAAAGATGTGCGGGTTAGGTGGATTGGCCTTGATAAATTGCCCACAGTGTCCAGGGATGTGTCGGCTAAGTGGATTAGCCATGGGGAATGCAGCGTTACGGGGATAGGGTAGGGGGTGGTGAGTCTGGGTGGGATGTTCTTCGGAGATTCAGTGTGGACTTGTTGGGCCAAATGGTCTGCTTCCACATTATAGGGATTCCAGGGAACTTTCAAAAGTTGATTGGTAGAGACTATTTGCAGGTAAAGGGATAGTTGGAAGGTGGGAGGCCATCAAAAATGAGATGACGAGAGTCTAGAAGCAGTATCCTGTTAGTGTGAAGGGCAGGTGTAGGGAATGCTGGATGACTAGAGAAATTGAGGCTCTAGTCAAGAAAAAGGAGGCAAATGGCAGGTACAGCCAGCTGAAATGAAGTAAATCCCTCAGAATATAAGGACTGGAGGAAAATCAGGAGGGCAAAAAGGGGAATTGAGATAGTTTTGGCAAACAGGATTAAGGAGAATCCAAAGAGAGTAACTAGGGAGAAAATAGGGCCCCTTAAATATCAACAATGCTGTCTTTGTGTGGAACTGCAGTAGATGGGTGAGATAGACTATTTCACATCGGTGTTTACAGTGGAGAAGGATATGGAAGCTGGAGAACTTGGAGAAATAAATAGTGATATCTTGAAAAGTGTCCATACTACAGAGAAGGAGGAGGTGCTGGATGTCTTAAAAAGTCTAAAGGTGAATGCTGTGTTCAGTTCTCATCTCCCTACTATAGGAAAGATATAGTTAAACTTGAAAGGGTGCAGAAAACATTTTTGAGGATGTTGCCGGGGATAGAAGGATTGATCTATAGCGAGAGGCTGAATATGCTGGGACTATTTTCCCTGGAGCATTGAAGGCTGAGGGATGATCTTATAGTGGTTTATAAGATCATGAGGGGCATGGATAGAATGAATAGCCAAGATCTTTTTCCCCCAGTAGTGGTGATTGAGCTGCTAGATGAAGTGGTGGAAGCTGGTACAATTACAACATTTAAAAGCCATCTGGATGGGTACATGTACAGGAACGGCTTAGAGGGATGTGGGTCAAATGTTGGCAAATGGGACGAGATTAATTTAGGATATCTGGTCGGCATGAACAAGTTGCACCAAAGGGCCTGTTTCCGTGCCGTGCAACTCCATGACTCTAAGTTTAGGGGTAGAAGGGGATATTAAGGTTGGGCAAGTGGAGGGGATGGTATACCGGTGGCTGATATCACTGATTTCAAACACCCTACCGATATTATTAAAACAACCTAACGCTGACCGCAACTTCCTCTATAGCTGAATGTGGAAATAAAATATTCATTGAACTGATGTTTATCTCTTGTATAATTCAGTATCTGTAATTCTTAGCTCAAATAAATCCGTCTTCCATGAATAAAAAACGCTGCCCAGTAAAGTGCAATGATGTGGAGGTGCACAAGGTCAGAAGTCAGACGACACCCGGTTACAGTCTAACAGCTCTGAGGAAGGGTCACTGGACCCGAAACGTTAACTCTGTTTTCTCCTCCACAGATGCTGCCAGACCTGCTGAGCTTTTCCAGCAACTTTGTTTTTGTTCCACAGTCTAACACGTTAATTTGAAGTCGCAAGTGCAAAAGCCAGTCACAATGTGTGTATCATCTCGGCATTCGTCTCCCCCTCCCAGTGCAGCGTTTTGAACACACCAGCAACGGCTTGGTTGCGGTAAAGTTGCTGGGGGCAGTAAGATCCGCTTGGCTGTCAGAGCGGGGCGCACTTCCTCAACACAGCTTTACACTGAAATGGAGTGGAGAGGCGGAGCGGGAAGTGCGGCTCGGCTGCAGAGGGCAAGCTCGGGGGGAGAAGGACAAGGTCAAGCAGCAAAGTGCGGGGTAAGAGTCTTTCAATACATTTTGCAGAAAAGAAACATTCGCGCCTGTATTAGGTGCTGTCTTTGTGTGAAAGCGGCGTAATAGCGTGTTAATCCACCGCAGCGTTTGGGTTAATTTTCACGTCCACGTTTTGAGACGGTGTCGATCGGCAGAAATATTTTACCAAGCATTATACCTCCAGTTAATGGTACAGTGCTCTGCTGCTGGCTTGCTTGGATTGTTAAGGGGTTACAGAGCTGAAATGGACGGGGCCACTAGGATTCCTGTCACGTTTCATGTTGCAAATGCCAGTTGTTGGATTAGGGATTATTGCGCCATTGACTCTCAAATACGCAGTAAAATGTAAAATCACGTTGGTGCTCAACTTGGGACGATCCATATATGTTCCATTGAACCTCCTACAAACAGCAGATCAGTCAACATCGGTGAAAGGACCAGGCAGATTAACTTCTGGTATAACACTTCATTAAAGACGGGAGAAATAAATCAGTAACAAGAGATCTGGAGAGAGGTAAAGAAGCATTAAAATGTGGCATGACATATGACCTGCCCATAACCCTAATCTTTCCTGCTGCGGCTTAATTTTTGAATATTGTCAAATGTAATACAGTACTTGTTTATTTCAAATATTTGTATTACTTCTTTTGTGAAGTGGTTCATGGTGCCCTCCATATCCGTTGATTGTGTTGTATTCCAGAAATACATCATTTTTTTGTTTCAAGCTGCAATAATGCCAAAATGCTTTTAATACTGGGAATTCATTTTACAGCATTGTAGGTGGGAAACACTAAAGCTTGCTGAAACAAAGTGGAACTCTGCATACAGAGCTGAAATGTGGGAAATTCTCACGTTAATGAAGAACTGAATGACCCACGTTGATGCTGAGCACTCGTGGCTAAAACAATGGGGTGCAGCTTCAAGCCCATAACTGGTGGTCACTGAGCTTCTGCAGGACCTGTGGCCACCATAGTAATGAGAGTGTAGAAGGACTCCTCCATTATTCATTCCAGTCTGCTGAGGGCCTCTGGTGTTCTGGCCTCTACCTGATGTTCCTTGCATAGCTGTGCTGGGTTGAGCATGTAATTTATGGCCACATCTTTTGGATAGATTTGAGCAAGCGCCTGGTCTCTGGCTGGCCAGCAGTACCGGCTTTTCTTCCTCCACTGGATTGGGACATGTGTCACTGATATGCTCACCAGCATGTGTCCCCAAGTCTACTCTAGTTAAATACCCACCAAGGTGACAGTCACAGTGCTGATGAAGGTTTTAGGTGAATATCTTGTTGGTGGGTTATCTGAGGTGTCTGAGCTGTTGTGCTCAGAGATGGTGGTACTGATGGGGCAAGGCTGTGTTCTTGTATGCTTGGCTGACTTTTGTATGGCGCTAGTCCTCGCAGAAGAGTAGAGAAATATTTAGTTAGTGAAGAGCCACAATAGCTCCTGTAGACTAATGTGTTTGCCTCATGCACGTTGGAGATGGGCAGGCTGCATGTTCAAAATGTTGCTTACTCGCTTCATAGCACTTTCCTTGTTCCTCATTGCCACAGGAACAGGTACAGTCCAGGTCTTCCCCAGAGAGCTCAGTTTCACACTTCTCAAATGGCATAATGTCTCCCATCCCTCTGCCAGTCTTGGCATTCTCTGTGTGGTTGTGGGAGACCTTAGTCCTGTAGTGAGGTAAAGGGAGATGTTAAATATGATGACAATGAGTGCAGGAACATTGTGAGTATGCGTAAATATGCTGGGGGAGGGTGGCATCCCTAGTACGTTGAGTAGGAAGCACAGTACCCATGAAGGATTTGTACTTTAAAAGCAGGACTTGAGTGTAAGCCGTTAAGTGCACATCATGCATATGATGCGGCCCTTTGAGAGATACTAGTGTAGTTGCACAGTTAGACTGAGTAATATCCCTGTGAATGTGAGCTGACTGAGAGAAGGCAGTGCCATTTACCTCTGCAGAGGACAGCAGATCATTAAGTTTCTTCTGTACCTGGGGGCACTGGTGAGGTTCACGGGCACTGATCTTTGAAGCTACCTGAGACCAGACAGGACAGGTTTGATAGGAGGGCCTTCTGGATCTGTTCCCCAGGGAAAAGGACCTCCCTTCTTTCCCAGAACCTCTATGGAAGCATCACTGAAGTTTCTGCTCCTTCTGTGGTATGTTCAAGGGGGTTTGTGAAGGGTGGAAAAACAACACGGGCTCCTGGGAAGTTCTTGGCTTGCAGCAAGTGAAATGGCATCCAGCTGGCCCCAGAAGTTTCAACTCTGAAAGGTCCCGCCCACACTGAGAACATCCTGTTCACTTATGTTTGTGATTTACTGAGTCACTTGTGAAATGTCTCATTTGTGTAGAAAACGAGGTGAAAAGCATGCAATTGTACCGGACAACCTGCCAAGGGCCATAGCAGAGGGGACAACCTTTAACCATAATCAATGCCATAGTTTAAGTGCGAAATGGAAAACTCTGGCCATCGTTTTCATCATGATCCTTAAAAGGATCTATTTCTCAATAGACAGCTTTCTAATCTGAAGGAAGAAAATCTGGCAGTCTGGCAAAGCAAATTTTAATGGTCTACCAGCAGTTACTTTTTGGGGTGTCAGGGGTGTGGTAGACCATAAGTCCATAAGACATAGGAGCAGAAATAGGCCATTCAGACCACTGAGTCTGCTTTCCCATTCAATGAGATCATAGCTGATCTGATAACCAATTCTACTTTCCTGCATTTTCTCCCATTACCCTTGACTGCATTAATTTTTTAAAAATCTGTATATCTCACTCTTGACTATATTTAAACAATCCAGTTAGTTACTAAAATATTTTGAGTGAAAGGAAATGCTAATACAGCAGCCAAAAATTTTCAGAATCTATGGCAGAAAGGACATTAATGTAACAGCCTAAGGAGTTAAAAATGAGCACAATAAAATGTGACTGAGTTAATATTTAAATATTTTAAGCCAAGTTTGTGTTGGCTGTGACATTATAATGTTTCATGCCACAATCCAGTCTTGTGACAGTTCAGTTTATAGTTATGCTTGTTTACTTGGCTAACTGATTAACTGACCTTTCCTTAACTTATTAATTGCAATGAAAAGATCGTGGCGAGTTCAATGATATTGGTCTTATTGTGACAACCTCATCATTTAAACATAACTCATTTATTTGATGTAGTTTAGATGAATTGAGAAGTTGATTAAGCAACAGAAGACCAGAGACAGGGCTTTCCTACAGCCATCAGGCACAAATGAGATTAAAAGCCTACATAGCATGTAAAATAGTTGCTCATCTCTGAATTTCCCTGAATTGACCCATCCATGGCCAGAAGGCAGGTTTGCCATCCAATGAAGGAGTCTACGTGGATCTTGAAGCTGGAGAGCTCACATGTAGTTCTGGAGTTGGAGAGCAGTAATGAGATGCCATGGGAGGTAGGCGAGAGACAGAAGGGAGGCACCCTCTCATGAACATTTCAAATTTAAAATTTAAAAAAAAAACCTTTGTAGCTGGGTATGCTTGAGCTGCTGTTGTAAAGTGGGGGAAAGACCCTCCACATAATGGCTTATGGTTACTGCTGAACCAAGACAGGTAGGGAGGACCTTTTAAGCCAATCAGGATTACTGGAGGGGGATGCCTTCAGGGATCTGTATTGTCCTGGAGGCTAATTGGAAACTCCCAGTCAGTCTCTGATAACAGATGACAATAGAGCTTCAATTAGTTCAGTTCATTACCTGCTACATGTTGGTAGGTAACACAGCTGTGCCTGCATCTTTACTACTCCCCCACATCCCTATGCTACCTTCAGAAAAATTTCCCAGGTGTACAATGGATCTAGGAAGCTGGAACACTGGCCAGCATTGTTACTTTTAATGAGAATGAGGGGACTGGTGTTGTGATAAATGGAAAATGTCAGGGAGAAAATAAACTCATATCTTGCTGTCTAGGTTTGTTTGGGGCTAGGAAAGATCTGGACCATTCCTGTGGCAGTGGGGAGAAAGGTATGTCCCATTAAGCTAGTACATGATGTGGACATTGCATTCAGCTTGTTTGATCCTAAATGTGCATGATGTATGTGAACAAGATGACATAATACATCTGCAGCAATTGATTTGAGGGACACTTAACATTTTGTAGGGGAATTGGAAGATGTATCATGAGAATGGGGTATTATGTTTGATTTTTCAGGGAGGGTAAGACAAACGTTTAGTATTTAGGGTAAAGAATAACGAGTAGTGGAGCTATGTCCCAAAGGATTAATCCATACTGGAGGTGTTGGAAAATGATTGAATGGTCAATGATGTTGAAGACATGAAATAGATAATCATGTGAAGTTCAACTTGTACAGGACAGCACTGGCTCTTCGACTATCTTTCGTAGTAGGTCCTTTTAGTCAAGGAGAGGAAGCAACAGTCCAACTTGAGATCAGAAGAATTTCATGTGCAGATCATAAGTGCAGAACCACTTTTTTAGATTTGAAGTCAGCAAAGATCAAAGAAACTGTCTTGGACAAAACTGATGGAATTGTCACTAAATGCAGGTGGTGGGCGAGGACCTGGAGAGATTGCGGTTAGAGAAGGCACTTGGGAGTTTGCATAGTTTTTTCCCTTGGGTAAAACAAGCTAGCTAGCAAAATTAGCCTGTTCCCAGACTAGGTTTGGAAACTGAGAAATAGATTTAGTTGGAGCATAGGATTCATCTGCAGTAAAGGCTAAGGGACAAGTGGATGTAAACTGAGAGGCTATATTGTTTTTACTGATTGCAAGTTATAATTTCTGTGCAACAGGTTTACATCAGAAGCTTTAAACAAAAATCTGGTCATTTGCCCTTCAAAACCCTAAAAATAAGCAGCCCTTGAAAGTCTCCCTTTGATAAATTTGAAGATTTTAAAATAATTTAACTATTTGTCAATAATAGTTATTTATTACAATTTTAATAATTAGGTATATGACATATGTATAGTTTAACAGAATCTTACTTTCAGAAATTCAGTGGTGATCATGCTAGAATTTGAGTTTCAAGAAGCTTACCAGAGAAATGTGTGCACAGTAAGTAGGACATGATCTAAACAGATTTTTTTTACTCCCACTTTTCTTCAAAAATACATTTACCAAACATAATTTTGTTTTTAAATTATTGACATCTGATGTATGGATTGCATAAAAGGGTTTATCAGATCAGTGTTTTGGCAGAATTGATGATTGTCAGTTAAAGGATGTTCCAAAATTAATTACTCGAACAATATAACTCTTTCTCTCTCATCCCCCAGCACTGATGTCCTTGCCCAACCACTCCACCTCTTCCCACCACACCCTAACCATTCCCGTTTTCTTGACCTTACTCCTGGATACGTTGTCTTTTGCCCAGGTATATGGTCAAAGGCACTGGCCTTTGATAAATCATCTTGAGAACCATTCTTCATTCGAGTCTTAGTTTTGAAGAGCTTTACCCTGAGTCTGGGTCTGATCCCACTCGTCTGTATGAGATGTCTGCATGAATATAATTTCTAACACAGTTTACTCA